ANTCCTTTGTTGTGGCCTTTTCTCCTTTCTTCTCTGTCCTTCCTTACTTATCTTTATTTACTTTCTTTCTTGCTTCTTCCTTTTATCCTCCTTGTACTATCTTCTCCTTTTCTGTCTGCAGCCTCATCCATCCATCTCTGGTTATTCAAGGTTCCATTTTTAATTCTGATCACTATAAAAATATCTCATTTTGAGTAATTTTTTTATTTTTATATTTTCAAATGAGTATAATAAGGACAAATAACTTGTTATACCTATTGTAACGAAACAATGAAACTGGAGTCTAGAACAGTTTGTAACGTTTACCTGAAAACTGCATGGGAACATTTGCATTAATGTTAAAAAGATAAATATTACCACTGTAGGTCTATGTTGCTGATTATGTGGAAATGTTGTCTAAATATTTTAACAGTGTCTCTTGGATTTATGCCTCTTTTCCACTATGAGTGCCAGTCTATGTGTCTCAGACACTGTGTACTATGGCTGTTGGCTGTGCTCTGTGTCCAGTCTACCTTACAGCAAGGAAATTAAATGTTAAATATTTACCATTCCTCTGGTATGTGACCCCACAGATTCCAGCTGTGATGGGTAGCAGTTACATTCCTCCCACAGGAAGTTTATCCTTTCTCGTTCCTTTCTTTTTTCTCCTTCTCCCTCTCCTGACAGTGCTTTTGAACTTCATCAGCGGTCTAGGTATCAGCCCAAATCTGTTGTCATGAAACGCACTAACATATCTCGTGTGCCACTGAATGCTGCAATGAGGTTTTCCTGAACATGTTTCAGCTGGCTGCATGTGAACAAGAGGTGAATTAATGTCACAGCTCTTACAACAGGTGTAAGTTAAATATAAATATTTCAACAGTATAAATGGAAAAATATGCAATTTTACCATTGAGGAAGCTACTGAGAAAACTACACAGCTTTGCACAAGAGTTTAAATATCTTGAACTTTTTTCACATTTTGTCATCTTGCAACAAGTAGTGTTGGTTATGATGGTCATTATATAAATGGCCATTCCATGATCATTGTGCTTCTGGAAGGTTAACCTCGTTTGCTGCCTCGTACAGATTTTCCTATAAGACTGTTTGGTGCTGTCATTATCTTTCTATGTTCATATGATGGGCTGAAAAAAGGTCTTTGAGAAGGTCAAACTGAAGTTATTTGTTTTATTACCAAACTCCATTTTAACCTTCTCCATAACATTCCATCTGACTCATCTGTGTCCCTCAGTCTTCCTGGTGCCGTTTACTAATCGTCTCTCATAAACCTGAGACCTTTACAGCACAGCTGGATTCATATTAAGATTAGATTACACATAGTCGGACCGTATTTACTAATTAGATGACATCTAAAGGCAATGGATCACATTAAACAAGACTCAACGTTAAGGAGGTAAACATAACTCATCCCATTCTCTTCAGATTTTTATCGGTTGAACAAAGTTAAGCCCATTTATTATTTTTTTTCACCAACAAAAATTTTATTTTTGTTGAAATATTTTTGCTTGAGGATGATGTGCAGATTTCTCTGTAAGAGGGTGACATTCAAAGCAATTGAGAAACTGACAACTTTTTCTAACATCAGCATCCTTTCCTCTTCTCCTTGAAGACATTGGCTTACTTTTGTCCAAATTAAACGCTGGAAATACTGCAAGTTATATTTGAGTCGTTCTTCAAAAATACGCTAAAGAAAAATGCATGTTTTTGTTTGAAGAATGCCTTGTTCAGTTATAAACAACTGATCCATCACAAATGCATTTAGGTTTAATCCTTTAAAAGCAAAACTACACTTTTGTCACGGCAAAGAATAAAACCACATTTTGAACATAGCTTGAGTGAAAAGAAATGGGAGTTGTCTGATTTCACAATATCCCGACACAAAGCATCTCCTTACCCCTAAGACCCCAGGCTCCCCACCCCTTCAGATGTAGCCTTTTGTTGTGTGCATGTGACTGTAGAAATGGCTCAGTAGGAAATGCCAGGCACCCACAAAAAAGCAAAAGAAAAATAGTTGTGGGAGCCACCCTCTGCATCAATTCAGATGCAACAAGAAGCATTTTACAGCTGCTTTATTCTTCTTCCTGTGCTGCTGAGGTTGTCTTTCATGTCAAAAGTCTTTTCCTACTTACAAATCACCAGGAAGCAGTCCGTTTCGCCGTGCTGCTGTGCTCTAAGCCCCTTCCTAGGGTCTTGTGCTTTGATCACCTGTAGCATTGGCAATCAACTTAAAAATAGAGGAACGGGCCGCTGGGATAAGCTTGTGTTCTTGTCTAGAACAGAAGAAACCTCCTCCCCTCCTAGCCGAAGAGCCTGGGAACCAAATCGCTGCAAGGTGGGGGGCAGCTGGATTGTCAGATTGTTTGGCAAACGATTATACTTCAACTGCATTAGTAAGGATTCCTCATGGTAAACACTTTGATTAACTAATTAGCTTAAAAATGAAGCTTTGTGTTTCTGGGAGAGACATGCAAGCTGTTCTCACCTTTGACCCGACACTTTAGATTCAAGGTTAAACGTGCTGCAGTACCCTCTAAATGAACGGCACTGTCACATCATGGCCCTCAGCCAGAGGCCCAGACCAGTTGTCACCGCTCTGAGTTTTAAGACCTGCTTAATTGGCTTCCCTGAGTGCCTGAGGAGGGGAAAGAGAGGAGAGCTAGCTTGTTACGAGGCCCTAGGTTGCAGAAAAGGGATGGGGGAGATGGAGGTCCCTTATCAGCCATTGCTGGACACCTCCGGTGGCTATTAATCAGAGCCAGAGCCTGACTGGAGCCAGGAGAGGATCCGCAGAGCACTGGGGGGAGGAGGAGGGCCTGGATCCTTCCTTGGGCCTCATGGACACTCATAAGGAACTTCCACAGACAACATAAACATTCCTTCCTGCCATGCTTCCTCAAATACGCCTGTACACCCCGCCACAAAGTCTCACTCAAACTGATTTAGGTCCCATAAAGCCCCTTCTGACTAGGACCCATCCATTTCAGCCAGATTGACAGCTTTACGTCGCCCCCTTACTGTGTTATTATATTGGTGCTGTGCTGCCAGCTACTATTGTGCTAATGAAAATTTAGCACCAGACGTAATATTCCTTTTCATTGGATGTGCACTCATCAAGCAAAATATCTCAAGGATGTTTATGGGCTTGAAAGCACTCATTGTTATAATTTTATTTTACATTTGCAACAGACTGGCCTGCAAAAGCTTTTATGGACAGGAAAATGGCTGTTAGCATTCAGCCCCAGTCTGACTCATGCATAAAGTTAACCATAATGCACTTTTGCGCATGTTTTTGTGTAATAATCAGCATCATGAAAAACATATATATAACAAAAGTATTTCATTTCTGCCTACATGGTTACATGATTGTAGGGACAGCATCAAAAAGTTGCTGATTGGTTGTTTTCG